TTAACAGCTATACTAATTAACACTGTTGGCTTATCATCAGGTTTGCGGAATCCAGTGTCATCCTGATGTAAAAGGAGAAAACTTTTGGGTGAAGCAACAGTGAAACATGTCCTGAGGTGGCCAGTCCCTGGGTAGCAGGGTGTGTTGAAGGATTTGGGTAAGTGCCTATGGCAGTGAACACCTCCCATAGCCTAAGATTTTACACAGGCTAGAAATTCTGGCAAATTGATGCACCATCTGATAGAAGGGTGCCTTGGCTACCCCAGTGAAAACCTTTTAGCACTGTCTTGGGGCTTGACCTATGCCTATCAAGCCACGATTCTATTCTATCAGTCAGACGACCGTGGTTAAGACAGCGATCCAAATCACCTCTGAGAGTGTCATGACTGAGCCAGGGGTTCCAGCTACCTCTGAAAACACAATGGTTGAGACAGAGATCTAAACCACATCTCAAGACACCATGATTGAAATAGGCAGCCAAGCACTAACTACAGTAAGCGAATGAATATTCCAACCCATACCATTCTATGATTCTATCATTCTATGATTTTAACATTGTGTTGTCTCCTGTGGAAACATTCATTTTTATTCCTGGTGACATTTGGTGTAAACTCAAGGAACAGAATAGACGTTGTCTATGACTGTGGAAGACAGTCTGGTGACAGTCCCTTGATATTAGTGTATTGACCCCCCCATTCCAAACTTAAAATCTTAACTCATGTAATAGTTTCACTGGGCTAGCCCTTGGCTAGCAGCCAACACAGCCATTCACTCCCTTCCCCCCACTTCCCCCCACCCCCAGGAAATAGGGGAGAGGGTCGGGGCAAGGATTAGGAGGCTTGTAGATTGAGATAAAAACAGTTTAATAATAGAAATAAAAGAAAACTTAAAAAAACCCAACCCAAAACAACTAATATTCAAATAGTAGTGATAATTATAACAGTAATAAGATATGCAAATGAGTGATAACCCAGTTCAACTGCTTACCACCCACTGATAAGCCCGGCCTGTTCCCAGGTAACGATCCTGGAGGAGCAACAATCCTGAACCAAAACTGTGATCCCAGAAGAGCGAGAGCCCGAGAGAAAACCCATGCGAAATCCACTCCCGCCTTTCTGGTCATCCCCGGATAATACACTAAACATGACAGGATATGATCTGGAATATTTCACTGGCACATCCAAATACCAGTTTGGGCTTTGCTATTCACTGCGCTTCTCCCTCCCAGTCCTAATGCAGCTGTGAAACAGCCAAACACGATGGCCTTGAGCTCCAGCAGCAACTGATAACATCAGTACTTTTATCAATGATGTTCTCAAAGCAAGTCTGAACTGAAACCAAAACATGGCTCTTCTAACTGCTGAGAAGAAAATTAACTCTAACCTAGCCAAACCAGGACAACTTAATATGAAATATTCTGTCTTGCAAGGCTAGAGAAACAGTAATTTTTTTCAAGAATATATTTCTGAGAAATAAAGTACATACTCACTGAGATCTAAGAACTGTTGATCCAAGTCCTTTTTCGGGACTGAAATTCATTTGAGAAGTTGGCTCTCCAATTAGAATGTCCAAGTGGTCCAGGTTGCACTGTCATCACATCAGGGTACAGTGTTCATAGTCTATCAGGACCTTCCCAGTGGCCTCATTATTTCACTGCTTAATCTGTGGAACTGCAAGTGTCAACTGCATGAAGTCAAACCAGTCCAGTTGATATGACAGCTGAACCACATCATTTCCGTCTTTCTTCTAAGGTGAACTGATAGAGAAGTCAGGTTTCTTTCCCCCAGCTGCCATTGAAAGTTTAGCTCTTCTAGCACTTCCTGAGCTCTGGTGGCCAGTGATGGCAGCAGAGTGGTGCATTGGATTGTGTTGCTACTCAGCTGTGGATATATGGTCTGGCTTGTTCTGTAAGCTGTGAAAAATTCCACAGACTCACCAGGAAATGCCATCTGAAAACTGGAAAATGTGCTGAGCTCTGGTTATCAGAGATACATGCCCTTAAATTGGTCAAGCACCTTGTGGTTCATCTGGCCCCAGCATGGGGATGTGGCCATGAGAGATGTGGGGAGAGGAGCCGAGACTGCAGCCGGGCACGAACCACTGTGGGTGGGGCCGGGCATGTGTGTTGGGGGTGGAGGGACCAGCTCCACCTGGCCCCACCAGCCCCACCTGGCCCCCAGCCCCAGGCCTGTTTGCCCACCTGTCCAGCAGTGGAATCAGCACCAACATCAGCACTGGGTCCATCAAAGCTCTGCCAACCTATGAGGTCCTGTCCCCTCAACAAAGCTGTGGAGCTGCCAACCAGGTAGAATACCCTTCCCCTCACTCACACCCTGTTGCCCTCCACACTCCTTCCAGGGTGGAGACAGAAATCCTCTGCATTAGCATTGGTGTTGGGGGAGTAAATGATGATGGGACCAATAGCAATATCTGGCAGTGCCCAGGAAGAGATGATTGCAGCCACTGGCCCCACTGGCTCCTGGTGAGTAGCCACACCTTTGTGCTCTGCACAGGGGGATAGGCAGCAGAGATCCTCCTGCCTGTGGGTAGACAGACAGACCTCAGTCCTGCTACAATGACAGGGCATTGCTGCCTCACAGTGGGTGGGAGCTTCTTCTGGTATTGGTTTTTCTGACACCACTAACATAACTATGGAACCTCTGAGCAGTGTTAGAACAAGAAGACCCATCTGACATGTTACTGTTAGCTTTTTCCTTAAAAGGTTTCTTGTTTGATTACTTTGCAAACAAGCTCAGATACACAATCTTCCAATTTCATAAACTTCTTCCAAGGCAACATTCCTGTTTCTGCTAGGACTTCATCTCAAGAAGTTCAACATCAGCATGAGAAAGGGAACTAGGAGTTACCAACACCTCTAGCTTTGAGACCAAGCTTGTTGTCCATACTTTCTTCAACCCCAAACAGAGACATTTAGGTGTTGACAATCATATTCTGGAGACTGAACAAATGCTTGAACCAGACACTTGTTGTAAAGACACTTTTTGTGGCTCAAAGGAAGTTAAATTCATAAGTCAAGAGTGAAATTTGCTAAGCAAGAGATGGTGTTGAATATCTGAGCTTGAAAGCTAAAAAGAGGCCTCTGGGAGGAGAGTCCTGGGTCCAGTAGTCCCTGGGGAAACTTTGTCTGTGCCTGGCCCCACCTCCACCTAGACAGTACCTATAGACAAGGTGGATTTGGGTGAGATTGAATCAGGCCTTCTCCACTCTGAGGATGCAAATCTCATGTCCAGCTGGATGCTAGATGGCCAGAGAAAATAATCATGGACAGCTCCCTTGGTGGAGAATGATTGGGCTCACCGAGATTACCATGGCACATAAAATGCTGGAAGGCTCCTGGCAGCCTTTCAGTTGCCTGACAGTGGACTGGATGGTCTGTTCCTTAGTCTACTATATAAATTTTCAGTTGTACAAGGTCCCTTTGACAGTGCGACCTGGAGTTTGGAGGCAGCAGTTCTACAGCAGGTATATCTGCCTGCTTAAACACCTTCTAACTTGGAGGGTTGCAAAAAGCCAAGCTGCTGCCTCCTTGGTCAAGCAAGAATATCCACATGCTGAAAAACCCAGCCCTGGCCCTAGACAACCTGTGGCATAGCAAAGATTGCAACTTGATTCCTTTCCCTGGGATGAGCACCAGTCTGTCACTTCTCTTGAGAGCCTCCCTGGGTCAGCAGTGTAAGGACACAAGGAGACCTGTCCGGAGCAGCAGTTAAAGAGATTTTCTCCACTCTTCACAGTGAGGTTTGGAGGCTGTTTTGAGACAGCAGAGGGAGGAGAAGGTGAGAATCTGCAAACACCAACTCAGTCTTTCTTGGAACTCTTTGGCTAATCTGTGAAAGGGAAAGCACAACATAGTCCTATTTTTGCTGTCAGTCTTGGGACTTGCAACCTTTGGTGAGATGAATTTTTCAGGCTGGCAAGGGTTGGAGCAACAGGAGTTGCTGACACAGACCTCTCAGGTGCTGCTGTGGACGGACAAATGCAAACCTTGGATCAGGCAGAAAGAGAGTGTGTGTGTATATTCCCTGTGGAGTGGTTCCCTCCTCAGCACTGTTTACTCATAGGTCTGACCTCAGCTTGTCCAGCAATGGCCTGTGGGGGTTGTGGTGGGGTTGAGTCTCTGCTTTCTCAGCCTGTGAAGCAGAGATAAACATCATTGACAGCAGGCTGGTGTGACTTTTCTGTCTGAGTTCAGATCCAGGGTCCTGGGAAAAGAGTGAAATAGTGCAACGAAACTCTCAGGTTCAAGCAGTGCCTGAACTTGAGAGAGAGCTATTGAGGGGTGCGACATGGACCACAGCAGGCTCCATCAAACCCCCTGAGCTAAAACTAACTGTGGCATGGAAGTGAGTATTAAAAAGATGTATCTGACTGGCTTGTCCTACTCTTATTCTTCCCCCAGTCTCCTCTGAAGCACACTGTTCCAGAAGGGAGCCGCTGTTGTGAGACATGACTGTTCTTGTAGCTGTATCTCTTAGCCAAAATAGCCTGAGGAAGAAAAATCCCTTCCTAGCCGTGCACTTGGGCGTCAGCCAAACTCTCAGCATGTGAAAAAAACCCATCAGCCTGAGTCTGTTCAACCAAGATTTTCTGTTCAACTGGATTCCCACCCCCTAGTTGTTTCATTGCTTTTGATGTCTCTCCTCTGTCCCAGAGGAATCACCATTTTTTGCTGAGGGGAATCCCTTTGCCCCAGTTACCTGACTGAAAACAGCTGTTCACTTCATTTCTAGGAATGAACTTGCCCCTCAGGCACACACTCAGGGGTTGTGCCTTCCTTCCACCCAGCATAACACTTCAGCCAGCAAAGCTTAGCATGTGGAGAGGTTTCCTACCTTGGTGGCACAGATCTGCCCTCTGTTGTGTTGCTGCAGCTCCTGTCTGTAAAGGAGGCTTGTTGGAGGATGGATTCCCCCTGAGACAAGGTTCTGGTGTCCCAGGCAGGGTGAGGAAATGGAGATATCCTGGCACTGGTGAATCACCCATTGACACTAGGACTATCCTCTTACAGTTACTAAGGCGTTTATCAATCTCTACACAGGTTAAAAGCCTTTCCAAATAAATCAAATTGCACATTCAGCTGTCAGCTGTGTGGCATTGAAAAGTATCCCAGCAAACCAGTAGATGTGCCTGTGAGCAGGGCCATGCTTGCAGTAGTCATCTGGAACTTCTTGTGTGAGAGGATGAGAGTTTTCCTCAAAAATATCCAATCCATCTCTTTTTATGGCAGAATATTGCTAATTTTGCACTTCATTGTGCTTCTAAGATGAGGTTGACTGACCGTGCAGTTGTCTATAAACATTGCTAAGCACAAACTACGTATTTTTATTAGCTGCCCAGGATAAACATCGTTAATGTCATTATTCCTTCTCTACTCTTGCACACCTGTTTGAGACTTGCCCAGGAAGATTATATTTGCTCTGAGATGATCAGATGGATTAGATTCCAAGGCTAAATCACCTAGGAAACCTGGTCACTGACATGCTGGAGGTGGGGGCCGCCACCACTGGGATTTGAGTCCTCTGACTTGGCCTCCACCGATCCTGATCTGTCTCTCACTGCCAGCACCTTGCATGTGTTAAAGATGACCAAAGGGCTGGAGGACCTGTCCTATGAGGAAATATTGAAGGAGTTAGTTAAGTCTTTTCTCCACAGAGAACAGAAGGCTCAGGGCGACCCCATCACAGTAGCCTGCTACTAAAAGAGCAACTACAAAGGGGATAAAGGCTCCCTCATCACAAAAAGCCACACAGAGCAGACAAGGGGCAATGACAGATCTCAAAGAGTCAGGGACTGTAATTGCTGGGAAGGCCGTGGTCTGCATGTGAAGGGCAGTGGTGGTGTGAGCAGAGCTCAGAGCACTTGGGAAGCCTGGGAAGCTGAGTACGGGCAGGATCATGCCTCAGTATTTGTGCTATGGTTGGATTGGTACATGTCCTGTACCACCCCCACCATGTCCCTGGGCCACAACCGATTCTCCACCTGTGGAGTTACCCATGGTGGTCGTGCGCATTGTGAAGAGGAACTGGAGATGGTGGGTGCTAGCAACTGACCCCATTGCTAAGGCAGCACGTCTCATCAAGAAGGAGGTGAAGCCTTGATCCATGGGCACAACAAGAAGATGTCCAGCATCCAGTGAGACAGACAAAGATAGTGTTTCTTCCCCAGACCTGAGGCAGGAGGAACATGAGTGGAACCTCTACGGGGCACTGTGTGCCTAAGCCATTATTTTGAGCCCAGCAGTGCCTTCAGGAGTTCCGTTTCTGCACCCAGGGGACCATGGATAGCAGAAAAATGCCAGGATTTAGAGCATTGCCTGGGGTTGAAGGCTGACATCTACAAATAAATTTTTAAATATCACTGAGAAGCATACTTAAATGTTGTCTTTAATACCGAAGTCACAAATGGTTGGCATAGACTCGGGTAGGAGGGACACCTGAAACAAGCCACGAGAAGGTAAGGCTTCATTGGGCTGTGGACAGTCCAAATTGCTGTGGGGACACTCTGTGCACTGCTGCCATCTGCCCAGTCACTGTCTGCCTGTAGATGGGATAATAGCCAGAAAGTGGGCATTTCCTGCAGGGATATGCGGGGCTTTGTGACTCTTGGGGGCTACAGAGCTTGGCTTACACAGACCCTGACAAGAGGGAAGAGAGGGTCAGTGCCTCGCTATCTTCATGACCTTGCTTCACAATTGGATGACCAGCAGGCAGATGAAGGCTCTCATAACTGTGCCTCCTGGCAGGAAGACATTCTGCCTGGATTTCACCTTTTCCTCCAGCGAAGGCAGCCTCCAGAGTTCCGGATGTGCACAGCTGCCCTTCTGCCTCAGCATCTCCTCCTGGCCAAGGCCTCTGATACACCCTTGTTTTTGATCCAGCTGGTGCCTGAAAATACCAGCCAACACAAGAGGGTTGAGGGTGCTCCAACAGAGGCACATCAGAGAAGCTGCTGAGCACAGAAATGTGTCCCAATGTCACCACAATGGCCCAGTGGGGACGAAGGGGGTAACAACTCTTGCACAGAGCCTTTCCAGAGCCAAGCTGGGATTGGGCAGTGGAGCAAACTTAGAGGTCCAGGAAAGCTGCCCCGGGCTTTAAGGAGACAAAGTAACACACAGCAGCAGTCTTTGGGCACTGGATACTCTCCTGGATCTACAGTGGCCCATGGGCTGTTGGGTTCATGGGGAGTGGGGACTCCATTATGTGGCTGATACCAGTACTAACCTGTGAATGACCTCAGCCCTCTGTGTCTGGACAGCAGCTGGGCCCTGTCAGCCGATGAAGGACCTTATGAAGTACCTATCTCATCTGTCTGTACCCATGTGTGCTAGTCATGGAGCCTAGATTGGGTAATGGCCGGGAGAGGAAGGTGGAGGTGAGACTGTGGGCTATCCCCAGGAACTGTAGTCTCCATATCCCCACTCCTACCAACCTTTGGAACCATCCTCTCTTTAAGCCCCTGCCACCAGCACAGCTCCATCCAGAGATAGGGGAGATTCCTTCTATAAGAGCCAGAGAGGGTACTGACATCACCCACGGGCTCCACATTCACAGAATGTATTCCAGGCCCAAGTGCTCCAGACTCATCTGGGAAGAGACACAGCAACGCTGGTAGGAATGATCACCACTGGTTGTGGAGTAGCCAGGAATGTCTTCCTAAGACATTTTGCAGTCTTCCACTGCACAAAAGACAACCCAGTGCAGTGAGTCCAAACCTCTCCTTCCTCTGGGAATGAGGAATGGTCTTCTTTTGCACCCAATGTAATCCTCTCCAAAAAACCACCCAGAGCAGACTGTAAGAGTTGACACAGAGAATGGATGACTCTGAGGCCAAGGCTTGGATGCAATAAAACTTTAATGAGTCTAAAAAGAAAAAGGAGGTGGCTCACAAGGAGCACCAGGAGCAGTCACTAAGATGCAATGGAGCTCCTACAGGTTGCCCATGTGCCTGTCCTGCAGAAAGGATGGAGACCAACAGGTCCCCACTAGGCTGGTGTTCGGACAAGGAGAAAACAAAGAAAGGGGGAGAATAGAGTGGAAAAGGGAAAGTAAATAGACACCATGCTTATGGAAAGCCCAGGAAGGCCATTTCCTGGCCACCCATTGCAGGAGAAGCCAGGGGTGAAAAACTATTCAAGATGAAATAGCTCAAAACCCTATTGCCTGTCCAGCAGCATGTTCTGAGGTCTTAGA